TCCTCACCTATAAAGCTCTTCATGGTCAGGCCCCTTCATATCTTAAAGAGCTCATAGTACCCTATTACCCCACTAGAACACTACGTTCTCTGAATGCTGGGCTACTTGTGGTTCCTATAGTCTCTAAAAGTAGAACAGGAGCCAGAGCCTTCAGTTACCAAGCTCCTCTCCTGTGGAACCAGCTTCCAGTTGGGGTTTGGGAGGCAGACACCCTCTCCACATTCAAGAGTAGGCTTAAGACATTCCTCTTTGATAAAGCTTATAGTTAGGGCTGGATCAGGTGAGTCCTGAACCATCCCTTAGTTATGCTGCTATAGGCCTAGACTATCGGGGGATTTCCCATGGTGCACTGAGCTCCTCTCTTCCTCTCTCTTTCTGCACTCATTCATGTTCCATTAATGCATGTTACTAACTTCACTTCTTCCCCGGAGTTCTTGTGCTTTCTCGTCTCGCAGGTTCTCATGGATCCTGGTGGAGCCTCCTGCCATGGTCCTGCTTGACTGCCATTGCCAATACTGTTGTTACTGTGCACCTGTCTGTCTGTCTATCTGTCTCTCTTTCTGTCTCTCTCTCTCTCGCTCTCTCTCTCTCTCTCACCCCAACTGGTCGAGACAGACGACCACCCACCTAGAGCCGGAGGATCTGTCCTAGGTTTCTGCTTTTTAACAGGCAGTTTTTCCTTGCCCTTGTCGCCAAGTGCTTGTTCATGGTGGAACTGTTGGGTCTCTGTAAATAATGTTATAAGGAGTTCGGTCCATGCTGGACTGCTACAGCTGCTTGAACGGGGGAGGTGACACACGTTCAGCACTATTTTACTTGCCCTTTAAAGTACTTTTACAAGAGATTTGACTGTTTAAAGTCTCAATCCACCCAAAGAGTATTTCTCTAGATCTGCCCCTGCCTCACAGTCAAGGTATCAGTTTATTTCAGTAATATTTGCTCAGAACTGTCATTTCTTTATACTGTTTGGAGAGGATGTTTGATACTTACAGGAGGGCATGATGAACTGTGGCTCTGTGTTTCCAGCATAGCCAATCTTTGTGTACCTGCAGTCCGAGAGATAAAAACTGTGCGTTAACAAACAGCGAAGAAGAGCCGCACAAAAACATCTGTAAGTTTACAAAGTGTTTCCTCTTTTTTGTATTGTATTGTAATGTTTTAGTTACTTGAATATACAGTATATATGAATTTACATGTTTAATGTAAAATAACATGAAAAATATTTAACTGTAAATAATCATAAAATGATTTAACTGTTTATTTAAAGAAAATGTAAAAAAAATGTACATAAAAAGATTAAAATACATTTACAAATCTATAATTTATTCACAGATATTTACTGTTTATTTAATAAATTAAATTGTTCAATTCTAGTTTAATACTGTTAATATGTTTATAAATAGATATAAAATCAGTGACATTAACAGTAAAAATTATTAGTTGCATAACTTTAATGTATTAGTTAGTTAACTGACAGATATGTTGTATAATGATGGAAGTTGAATAAATGTTGTTTATCAGTGTATAATTCAATTTTATGTGTATAGCGCCAATTCATAACAGAAGTTAGAGAGAGAGAGACAGAGAGAGAGACAGAGAAAGAGACAGACAGACAGGTGCACAGCAACAGTAGCAACAACTACACTGATAGTAGTGACTGATGATGATGAACATGAAGAAGATGCATTGGTAAACTGTCCAAATACAGTTGTTATCAGTGTAAACAGCAATAATTACTGTAATCTCACAGATAATGACTTTTATTACACTTCTAACACTGCTGGGTGGATTGTTGCTGTGACGTGCTACAGTAAGCGTACTGACTCACTTCCGGTTTCCTTCCTGCTCTGTGTACACTGTTTGGTGCTGTAGCTCTGTCAGTGAACGCTAAATATACATTAGTTTTACTCGTTACAGCGGTTATTTACCCGCTTAACATTTAAACGTAGACTAGTTCTACCTAAGCACTCGGAGTTTCTCCTTCTTTTAGGGACTTTTCACTACTTTCAAAGTTTTTCATACACGCTAGCTTCATTAGCATTAGCAGTTAGCTATGGCTTCTCCCTCTCCCTCTCCTCTGTCCTGCTCAGTGTGTCAGATGTTCAGTTATTCCTCTGCCTCCTTTAAAGATAATGGTACCTGTATTAAGTGTAGTTTATTTACTGCGCTGGAGGCGAGGCTTAGTGAGTTAGAGGAACGGCACCGCACCACTGAGATATCTTTACTAACTTCACTTCTTCCCCGGAGTTCTTGTGCTTTCTCGTCTCGCAGGTTCTCATGGATCTTGGTGGAGCCTCCTGCCATGGTCCTGCTTGACTGCCATTGCCAATACTGTTGTTGCTGTGCACCTGTCTGTCTGTCAGGCAGTTTTTCCTTGCCCTTGTCTCCAAGGTCTTGCTCATGGTGGTACTGTTGGGTCTCTGTAAATAATGTTTTAAAGAGTTCGGTCTAGACCTGCTCTATTTGAAAAGTGTCCTGAGATAACTTCTGTTATGAATTGGTGCTATACAAATAAAATTGAATTGAGTTGAAATTCTATAACTTTTAACATTCACATTAAAATAATAACAATCCAATAATAACAGCACTCTGCTGTAAATGTAAGTCTGATTATTGTATTATAGCAGAGTTCACCTGGATTTATTAATCATTGTTTACACTGTAAATATCTTTTAATTAAACATTAAAAGGATAAATAATTAAAGCTAAAAACTGTATTAGTACTTTTATTTTATTTTATTTTATAGTGGATGCATTTATGTAAAAGCAGGATTTTGTTGTTGGACTCATTTTAAACCGTTGGTTACTTTCTCTATTAATCCATTAATTTGTAACAATTCTTAAAATAGTGTCACAATTACCCAGAGTTCAAAGGGACACCTTCACCCTGTCCCTGTAGAGAGAACTGATGATGGGAACGCTGCTCTAATTCCTCCAGCTGTCCCACATTCAGACCAGAATAGACTGATCACAGACCAGCTGTCAATCAAACACAGCACACACTGACGACAGCCAATCAGCAACCTCCGTAACAAACCCTGCAGTTCCTGTAACAGCCACTAGAGGCTGGCTCCAGCAGTGAGTCAGTCTGCATAAAGCCCCATATTAAAACCTTACAGCAGAAATAAACACACCTTTTACTCATTAGCTCAATCAATAATCTATAATCATTAATCAGTGTATAAACTCTAGAGCTATATTCTATATTCAATCAATAATCTATAATCATTAATCAGTGTATAAACTCTAGAGCTATATTCTATATTCAATCAATAATCTATAATCATTAATCAGTGTATAAACTCTAGAGCTATATTCTATATTCAATCAATAATCTATAATCATTAATCAGTGTATAAACTCTAGAGCTATATTCTATATTCAATCAATAATCTATAATCATTAATCAGTGTATAAACTCTAGAGCTATATTCTATATTCAATCAATAATCTATAATCATTAATCAGTGTATAAACTCAATCAATAATCACAGACACACACAGACACACACACACACACACACAGACACACACAGACACACACACAGACACACACACACACACACAGACACACACACACACACGCACACACACACACACACACACACACACACACACACACACACACACACACAGACACACACACACACACACACACACACACACACACACACACACACACACACACACACACACACACACAGACACACACAGACACACACACAGACACACGCACACACACGCACACACACACGCACACACACGCACACACACACACACACACACAGACACACAGACACACACACACACACACACACACAGACACACACACACAGACACACACACACACACACACACACACACACACAGACACACTCTCTCTCTCTCACTGTGTGTGTCTCCTCACCCGGTCCCGCAGTCTATCACGCACGGGGGCAGCTGCAGGGACATGTTGTGGCTCTGGTCCGCAGAGCGGTCGGTGGTCGGTTGTTGTTACCGGAACAGTTGAGACCGGAGAGCGCGGCGGAGTCTGTCTGTCTGTCTGTCTGTCTGTCTCTCTCAGTATTTCCGGGTCGGAGGGAAAGATGGAGAAAATAGAAACCCATCTGACACTGCCCCGGTAACCGGAGCCGTGTGTGTGTGTGTGTGTGTGTGTGCTGCGTTCACGTGATGTCAGCTGCACCGTAAATACCTCTAAAACACGGCTCATCTCCGCCCCCTGGTGATGACAACAACAACAACAACAACAACAACACTAATAATATTAATAATAATGATAATAATAATAATAATAAAAAGTATTTAAATAAAAGTACTTTGCAGCCTGTTGTGTCTAAAATATATATATATATATATAATATAATATATAATATATAAATAATATAATATAATATGATATATAATATATAATATAATATAATATAATATATAAATAATATAATATAATAAAACATATAATATATAAATAATATAATATAATATAATATAATATATAAATGATATAATATAATATAACATATAATATATATAATATAATGTTGTAGTACATCCAGCAGGTGGCAGCAAACACACACAGCTACAGTTTTCATTCAAGCAAACTTTATTTACTAATAAAAACTCAACAACAGAGAAATAAATAATACTAATAAATACTAATAAAACATCTATAAACAAGTTTCTATTTGATGTTTATACTTAAAATGCACAAAGAGTCAGGAAAAGCTCAGGCGCGTAAACACAACCGAACACAGCCGAACACAGCCGAACACAACCGAACACAGCCGAACACAGCCGAACACAGCCGAACACAACCGAACACAGCCGAACACAGCCGAACACAGCCGAACACAACCGAACACAGCCGAACACAGCCGAACACAACCGAACACAGACGAACACAGCCGAACACAGCCGAACACAACCGAACACAGCCGAACACAGCCGAACACAGCCGAACACAGCCGAACACAACCGAACACAGCCGAACACAGCCGAACTCTGCTGGATCAACGAGGCACAAGAATCCTTCGTCACCATCATCGTCGGCACCGGGACTGTGTGAGTTGTGAGGTTTGTGACCGGAGTCTGGCGGTGAGAGGACCTGCAGGGGAGTCCCGACGGTCGCAGCGAGGGGGCGTGACCACCGGCTGTGTGTGTGTGCGCATAGCACGTGCGGTGTCAGTGAGGACTACAGACCCGGAGCTCATCCTGCCTTCCTCCTTCAGCAACCGAGTCCCGGAGCCAGTATCGATTATTGATCGCCATCGTCCTGCTGGGGGGTTTCCTCAGTCCGGTCCTCTGGTCCTCAGTCCGGTCCTCCGGTCCTCCGGTCGTCCGGTCCTCAGGGCTGAACCAGGACGAGCCTCGCAGCATAGAGAGAGTTTGTGATGGAGTTATCGATCATCAGCTCTGATCGATAACGTGGAGAGGAGGCAGCATCAGATCCAGACTGGACTGACAGGAGACTTTAATGTCGGAGTCTTCATCACTCTTCAGACATGGACAGATCGAACTATTGATTATTCCTAATAGTCCTCCGTAGACATCAGCCCTGTGTCCTCCTGTTGGAGGATCGATAATGAGCGATGTCCTCCGCCTCCAGCAGCCGGGACATCGTGGAGGACTTCCTCCGCTACAAGCTGCTCTCCACCGGCCTGACCTGGCGCGACCCGCCGCGCCGCCGCCGCACGGGCGGCCAGCGCAGACACAACGCGGCCGCGTCAGCAGCGTCAGCAGCGTCAGCGTTGACTGCGTCATCAGGGAGACCTGAGCGGGCGGTGACGTCACACCGAGGAGTCGCTGTGGAAGACTCTCAGCAAGGTTAGTCAGATTACTTTATTAATCCCACAACGGAGACATTCACTGGTCAGTAATAGAGATATTAAAGCTATGGTATAGGATCAGGTACAGCAGCATTGGAGTGAATAAATCATAAATAAATAATAAATAAATAATAAATAAATAGAGATATTAAAGCTATGGTATAGGATCAGGTACAGCAGCATTGGAGTAAATAAATCATAAATAAATAATAAATAAATAATAAATAAATAGAGATATTAAAGCTATGGTATAGGATCAGGTACAGCAGCATTGGAGTAAATAAATCATAAATAAATAATAAATAAATAATAAATAAATAGAGATATTAAAGCTATGGTATAGGATCAGGTACAGCAGCATTGGAGTGAATAAATAATAAATAAATCATAAATAAATAGAGATATTAAAGCTATGGTATTGGATCAGGTACAGCAGCATTGGAGTAAATAAATAATAAATAAATAATAAATAGCCACTTCCTCAGAGGACAGAGCTCGGACCAACATCCCACAGTCCACAATCAACAACCTGATCAACTCTATGAGAAGGAGATGTGTTGCACTGCGTGAGGCAAATGGTGGTCACACCAGATACTGACTGGTTACCGGACCCCCCCGACCCCCCCGACCCCCCAATACAGTGAAACTGCACATTTTCGAGTGGCCTTTTATTGTGGCCAGCCTAAGATACACCTGTGCAATACCCATGCTGTCTGATCAGCATCTTGATATGCCACACCTGTGAGGTGGATGGATTATCTCGGCAAAGGAGAAGTGCTCACTAACACAGATTTTGATTTGTGAACAATATTTGAGAGAAATAGGCCTTTTGTGTACAAAGAGAAAGTCTGAGATCTTTGAGTTCAGCTCATGATGAATGGGGACAAAAACAAAAGTGTTGTGTTTATAATTTTGTTCAGTGTAGATTACTGATTACATAGATTACTGATTACATAGATTATATAGATTACTGATTACATAGATTACTGATTACTGATTACATAGATTATATAGATTACTGATTACATAGGTTACTGATTACATAGATTACTGATTACATAGATTATATAGATTACTGATTACATAGATTACTGATTACTGATAACATAGATTATATACATTACTGATTACATAGATTACTGATTACATAGATTACTGATTACATAGATTACTGATTACATAGATTATATAGATTATATAGATTACTGATTACATAGATTACTGATTACATAGATTATATAGATTATATAGATTACTGATTACATAGATAACTGATTACATAGATTATATAGATTACTGATTACATAGATTACTGATTACATAGATTATATAGATTATATAGATTACTGATTACATAGATTACTGATTACATAGATTATATAGATTACTGATTACATAGATTACTGATTACTGATTACATAGATTATATAGATTACTGATTACATAGATTACTGATTACTGATTACATAGATTATATAGAGTACTGATTACATAGATTACTGATTACATAGATTATATAGATTACTGATTACATAGATTACTGATTACATAGATTATATAGATTACTGATTACATAGATTACTGATTACTGATTACATAGATTATATAGATTACTGATTACATAGATTACTGATTACATAGATTATATAGATTACTGATTACATAGATTACTGATTACTGATTACTGATTACATAGATTATATAGATTACTGATTACATAGATTACTGATTACTGATTACAAAGATTACTGGTTACATAGATGACTGATTACATAGATTATATAGATGACTGATTACATTGATTACTGATTACCGATTACTGATTACATAGATTATATAGATTATAGATTACTGATTACATAGATTACTGATTACTGATTACATAGATTATATAGATTATATAGATTATAGATTACTGATTACATAGATTACTGATTACTGATTATATAGATTATATAGATTATAGATTACTGATTACATAGATTATATAGATTATTGATTACATAGATTACAGATTACATAGATTATATAGATTATAGATTACTGATTACATAGATTACTGATTACATAGATCATAGATTACATAGATTATAGATTACTGTAACTCCCTCCACACGTTCCTTAGTCAGGCTTAATTAAATCATTTACAGTTAGTACAAAATGCAGCCGTCAGACTTTGAACCAGAACCAGAACCACAACCAGCCGTCAGACTTTGAACCAGAACCAGAACCAGAACCAGCCGTCAGACTTTGAACCAGAACCAGAACCAGCCATCAGACATTGAACCAGAACCAGAACCAGAACCAGCCGTCAGACTTTGAACCAGAACCAGAAACAGCCATCAGACATTGAACCTGAACCAGAACCAGCCGTCAGACTTTGAACCAGAACCAGAACCAGCCGTCAGACTTTGCACCAGAACCAGAATCAGAACCAGCCGTCAGACTTTGAACCAGTACCAGAACGGGCAGTCAGACTTTGAACCAGAACCAGAACCAGCTGTCGGTTCCACATTACTCCTGTTCTCACATCCCTTCATTGGCTTCCTGTAGAACTCAGAATCCACTATAAGATGTTACTGATTGAATATGAGGCTCTTCAGTTACATTGCAGATCTCCTCGTTCCTCATTCTACTCCTCAGTTCTCTTTTATCCATCCCCCGCTCTGACTGCACCATTAAAGGAGACCTTCGCTGTTTTAGCTCCAACATTGTGGAACAGTCTTCCTCAATCACTCAGATTCACTCAATCTGTGGTTTCAATCCTCTACAGACCTTTTATAGATCTCCTGTTGTTTTCTCATCTGTTGTCTCTCTTTTAATTTATCGTTCCCTCTTGTTTTATCTTCCTTTGTTTGTATTTACATGCTCTCTCTGTTTGTTTGTTGTTTGTAAAGCACTTTTGATCTCTGTGTTAAAACAGTGCTATAGAAATAAAACTTACTTAATAATACTATAATACTACTATAATAATACTGTAATAATACTGTAATAATACTATAATACTACTGTAATAATGCTGTAATAATACTATAATACAATGGTAATAATACTGTAATAATACTATTATAATACTATAATTCTACTGTAATAATACTATAATACTACTGTAATAATACTGTAATAATACTATAATAATACTGTAATAATACTATAATTCTACTGTAATAATACTATAATACTACTGTAATACTACTGTAATAATACTATAATAATACTATAATTCTACTGTAATAATACTATAATTCTACTGTAATAATACTGTAATAATACTATAATACTACTGTAATAATACTATAATAATACTATAATACTACTGTAATAATACTATAATAATACTGTAATAATACTGTAATAATACTATAATAATACTATAATTCTACTGTAATAATACTATAATACTACTCTAATAATACTGTAATAATACTATAATTCTACTGTAATAATACTGTAATAATACTATAATACTACTGTAATAATACTGTAATAATACTATAATAATACTATAATACTACTGTAATAATACTATAATACTACTGTAATAATACTGTAATAATACTATAATAATACTATAATACTACTGTAATAATACTATAATACTATAATACTACTGTAATAATACTGTAATAATACTATAATAATACTGTAATAATACTGTAATAATACTATAATAATACTGTAATAATACTATAATTCTACTGTAATAATACTGTAATAATACTATAATAATACTGTAATAATACTATAATAATACTATAATTCTACTGTAATAATACTATAATACTACTGTAATAATACTGTAATAATACTATAATAATACTGTAATTCTACTGTAATAATACTGTAATAAGACTATAATACTACTGTAATAATACTATAATAATACTGTAATAATACTGTAATAATACTATAATACTACTGTAATAATACTGTAATAATACTATAATAATACTATAATTCTACTGTTATAATACTGTAATAATCTATAATAATACTGTAATAATACTATAATAATACTATAATTCTACTGTTATAATACTGTAATAATCTATAATAATACTGTAATAATACTATAATAATACTATAATTCTACTGTAATAATACTATAATAATACTGTAATAATACTATAATAATACTATAATTCTACTGTAATAATACTGTAATAATACTACTGTAA